GAGTTTTGTTCGAAAAGCAGGTATTGGGTTAAATTTGAATTGAATGATCTAATAGAGTTTTTAAAGTTTCGATCTTTGTCTTTGGGTTGCGTTGGAAGCTTAAAAGTTTCTTACTTTCTGCAATTTCCGACTTTTCAGTTTCTTACAGTAATTATATATGCTCATAAAGTCTATATAACTCACGAGATCTGATTTCATGTTTTGGATGATTCACAAGTTTGATATGTGATTATGGAACTTGTAAATCTTTAATTTTTTTTACAGCCCAAATCCTTTGTTTATCTCAAGTCATTAGTATCAGATTTATATGTTATTGATTTCTCAGGAAAGATGAGATTTTTAATTTCATATATACATACTCTGTTATTTAACTTTGCTCTGTTTGATTCTCCTGCGTTTAGCTTAATTGGATTATGATTTAGCTTAATCCCTTGTTTGATCACAATTTATCTTCCTTTTCAGTTTGTATTCATTGTTCTGTGCATATTCATTGATGATCCATTTCAAATTGTGCAGGTCTATATATATATACGAGTCTCAGTGAAGTATAATGGCTTCTGAGCTGAAACGAACTCTTACCAAGAGATACGGCGCTCTTCAACTATGGGAGATCATAGTGATTGCTATATTTGCAGCTTTCATAGTAATCCTCGCCATTTCAGTATGGCTCAGCTTCCGTAAAAAGTCCAGAAGATCGAGATTTACACAGCTTCCCGCAACACAAAGCCCTCGCTTTCCCGAAGAAATCAAAGAAATAAGTGTTGATCATGTTACTTCCAGCAACAATGGTTCATCTCATCATACTTTAGATGAGAAATTCGGCGAGAAGGACATTGAGAATGGCGATAAGTACTCTGGTTCCTTAGAGAAAAAAACCACGGTGGAGTCACATTTGGCTCCTACTACTCCTCCAACAACATCCCCTTCACCTCTCTCGGGTCTTCCTGAGGTCTCTCACATTGGTTGGGGACATTGGTTCACTCTCCGTGACCTTCAGCTCGCCACTAATCATTTCGCCAAGGAGAATATCATCGGTGATGGTGGTTATGGAGTTGTTTACCATGGAACTCTAACTAACAAAACCCCTGTGGCGGTCAAAAAGTTGCTCAACAATCCGTAAGATTTCTGATAACGCCTTTCTTTTATCGACTCAATGTTCATCTCTGAGATGAAAATATTGTTTTTCCGATTAGAGGGCAAGCCGATAAAGATTTCAGAGTTGAAGTGGAGGCTATAGGGCATGTGCGGCATAAGAACTTAGTACGGCTTCTTGGATATTGCGTTGAAGGAACTCATAGGATGCTGGTTTATGAGTACATGAACAATGGGAACTTAGAGCAATGGCTTCATGGAGACATGAATCACCAAGGGCATCTCACATGGGAGGCTCGGATCAAAGTTCTTGTAGGCACTGCAAAAGCGTAAGCCCTTGCCAAACCACTTGATGATTCTTGTTTCTTGTTTTTCCGGCAGTGTAAGCTCATGAGACTGTATTGTTGATTGCATTTTCGTTTACACAGGTTGGCTTATCTTCATGAAGCTATTGAGCCAAAAGTGGTACATAGAGACATAAAATCAAGCAATATACTGATGGATGGCAACTTTGACGCTAAGTTATCTGATTTCGGTCTTGCTAAATTGCTTGGAGCTGATAAAAGTTACGTTAGTACTCGAGTGATGGGTACATTCGGGTGAGCTATGAAAACTGTAGCTTTACTTGACCTTTTCATCATCTGTATTGGTTATTTAAACATTTTGCTCTGTTTCATTGATGTATATTCAGATATGTCGCGCCTGAATACGCTAACTCTGGCCTCTTAAACGAGAAGAGCGATGTCTACAGCTTTGGTGTTGTTCTCTTGGAGGCTATTACTGGAAGGTATCCAGTGGATTATGCGCGGCCTAAAGAAGAGGTATACAGAACATTCATCTTTTCCCTAGATTAAAGAACTTAAGGGGAATATTCGGCTTGATGATTCAGAGATTGATCTTGAAATGTGTGTTTTAGGTGCATATGGTGGAGTGGTTAAAGCTAATGGTTCAGCAGAAACAGTTTGAAGAAGTGGTGGATAAAGAGCTCGAGATCAAACCATCGACAAGCGAACTTAAACGAGCGCTTTTAACAGCTTTGAGATGTGTTGATCCCGATGCAGACAAGAGGCCGAAGATGAGTCAAGTAGCTCGAATGCTTGAATCAGATGAATACCCTGTGATGCCTAGAGAGGTAACTACATAAAAAAACAACACACACACACACAAAAAACTGAATTCTTTTTAGAGTGGTAATAATTTGGTTTTGTGAATGTTTTAGGAACGAAGAAGAAGAAGAAATCAGAACGCAGAGACGCATAGGGAAAGCACAGACACGAATAAAGATGAGATCATAACAGATGCAAAGATTTGAGTAACAAACAGGAACATGGACCCTTTTTATGAGTCTGGGGGGTTAAGAAGAAGGAAACTTTTATATTCTTTGGAGATTGTTTAGATTCTTTACTCTGTTTCTATGGGTTAATTATGTGATATATATACATATAGAGAGAGAGGAACAAGATTTGTTTCTTTTGTCTGCAGGAGAAGAGATCTTTTGTATAGCTTTGTTTTATACCTTTCTTATTACCATACAGACTCGGTTACAGACAGAGACCGATGTATTTATATAAAGATGTATTTCTTCTTCATTTACCTTTATATTTTCTTTCCAATATAAATTTTGAATATTTAACTAAATAAATTATCATGACTAACAAAATCCGACTTTAATCATCTACTGTTGTATGTTGAGTTTCAGAATATTGTGTATTGAGAAAATCTAGCTTACAATCATCTGTCTGACTTGATGCGCGCACAAACAAAAAGAGTAGTGATATTCCATTTCCTCGCAATATTTGTAAAAATTAGTAGAGAAACTTACATGTGTATCACATTGCATGAAATAATATAAAAATAGAGCAACAAACATTCATGTCATCCAAGTGATTTTTCCAGTGTATACGTGTTATGAGAGAAATAAAAACCTATTTCACGAATTTACACATCCAAACAAAAACAAATGAAATAGTGATAAAGTGTGGAATCATATCATCAATAAGGGTTGTTGCTCCTGAGTGGAGTTTGGGGAGCAGAGCGAGGAGGATTGAGCAGAGGCTGAAGTGCTTTCACCACTATGCTCATGTTTGGCCTGAAATCCGCCTCGTATTGCACACACAGCGCAGCTACCGCAGCCAGCTGATCATGCGGCACAACCAAAATCACACTCAGAAATCATATCCAGGTTTAGAGTTTCAATATTCAGCTTCTTATGTT